AAAGAAAATAAATAATGTTAAACAGAGACACACATCTTTTATATAATCTGGGGCATATAAATATTCATTTTTTATTGTGAATGTGACTGTGTGGCAAATGAGAAGTGATAGACAAAGTCAAAGTTGTGGCAAACTAATGGTGTGCCACAAGGTTCAGTTTTAGGTCCCACTCTTTTTCAATTTATATAAATAATATAGGTCAAAACATTCCTGATGCATAATTGCATCTCTTTACTGTTGACATTATAGTTTATTGCTGAGTTAACACAGTTGCCAAGGTTTTCCAGCTTCTCCAATCTGCGTTTGACATCATTAAGTCAGACTTATTCCATCTCAAGCTGGTGCTAAATGCTGACAAAACCAAAGGGATGTCTTTTTCCAACAGAAAGTCGGTGTCAGCAACTCTTCCTCCTGTCTTATCCATGCATGGTGTTCCTATTGCATTTGTAGATTTGTACAAATACTTGGGACTTTTGTTTGACGTACATCTCTCTTTTAAACCACATATCGAAAACTTGATAAAGAAACTGAAATTAAAACGGGGTTTCTTTTTCAGAAATAGATCTTGCTTAACTCTTGAATGCCAGAAAATGCCTTGTAGCTGCTACTTTCCTACTGGCCATTGACTATGGTGACATTATTTACATGAATGCCCCTGCCAGCTGCTTGCAGATGTTGGATGCTGTCTACCACAGCGTGCTAAGATTCATAACTCGTTTTAACTACTGTACCCATCACTGCACCCTGTACTCATTGGTCAGTTGGTCATCATTATCTACATGTAGGCTCTCACACTGGTTCAATTTCATCTATAAATCACTCCTTGGTCTGCTAGCGTCTTATATCTCCTCCCACATGTCATGTCGTCAATGCAGTTAAAACGTGCACTCTCAGGACATCATTACCTGCAGCGTTCCCTCAGTGCGGACTGAACTTGGCAAAAAGGCCTTTTCCTACTCTGCTCCTGCACCTGGAACACCTTGCAACAGGAACTGAAGTTGTCCACCTTAGTTTCTTTAAGGGGTTTCAGACATTTGATAAAGTGAATAGAAAAATCAAAGCAAATATGTTCTTGTTTTTAGTATTTCACCCTGTTTTATGGCACCCTGATTTATTGTTTTATAACACTTCTTTTATTTTAATTGCATTTTTACTATGGTTTATTTTTATTATTGTTAATTGTTATCACTATCTGTAATTTATATGTTCTGTCTGTAACAGGTCTCTCTTGTACAAACCGGATTCCAAAAAAGTTGGGAGACTAAACAGATTGTGAATAAAAACTGAATGCAATGATGTGGAGATGGCAAATGTCAATATTTTATTCGTAATATAACATAGATGACAGATCAAAAGTTTAGTCTGAGTAAATGTAACATTTTAAAGGAAAAATATGTTGATTCAAAATTTCACAGTGTCAACAAATCCCCCAA